AGGCTGCCTTGGTCTCCTCTCCATCCGCAAGTTGGTCTAGGGTTCTCCGTCCAGAGGTGGCTCTATGCTCACTGGATCTCGATGAAGCACGCAAGTGCTCCTCGGGAGGCTGTATTGTGAGTTGTTCAGGCACCTGGTGGTTTGGATCTTTGCCTGGGAAAGACCTTGGTCTTGGTGTTGGACACTTTGAGGCTGGACAGCCAGTGAGGTCTTCCCTTTGCACCTGCTTGCTAGCCCCACTGGGGTCTTCAGAAGTGGGGGGCATCCTCTCCGAGCTTGGATTGGTTCTCCTGGCTTTGGGTTCTGAGACATCGCCGTGAAATCCCCCGGCCGCTTTAGACCCTTCGTCAGTGATGGAGGAGACCTTCTCGGAACCCACTTCAGGGTCCGCGGGTTCTTTCAAGAGATCGATGAGGGGTTTGTCCTCCACACGGACAACTGGCCCGTAGGCCATAGTCTCGCAGCTGCCTTCCTCTCCGGCGTTCAACGTCCCAACCTTTTCTCCTCCCTCCTCAACCAAGGGGTTCCCTTCATCCTTTGACAGAGACTGGGTCAGGGGGTTTGTTACTAAGAATGCTCTCTCTCCTTCTGGAGCGCCTCCAGGCTGGACGGGTGAGGCTTGGCTGCTCCCAGGCGCCGACAAAGTCTGCTCTAAGAAACCAGATGGCACCCGGATGAGAGAGTTTTCCTCTCTTTCGGCCTGGTTCTCAGGGCTGCTTGGCAAGAGCCCCAGCCCCTCCAAGTTTCTCTCGGTTTCCGCCACGGCCTGTGTCGGCTCAACATGTGGAGATCCTTCCATTCCCACCTCTCTGTTGCTGGACTGGTTAGTGCACGGACGGCTGCCTATTTCTGCAGCCACCTCCAGCTCTACTTCAGGCGAAGGCGGGTCAGACACCCACTCGGTGAGCACAATCTGAGGGAGGGGGACAGCCGGGCTGGCTGGAGAGGCCGGTTCCTATGGAGACAATTCAGACCAGTTAACAGCAGGTGGGAAGTGGGAGACGTTTGCCATGCAAATGAACAGAGCGGAGTGCTTCTTCGAAGGTATTCCTGCCTAGCCTGGGCTGCCAACTTCACAATCCACCCACTGGGTCTATAATCCCAGACTATCCAGCCACTTCTGCAGCCCCTGAGCGCTGGGCCACGCCTGACGCAGAACAACTCAAGAGGGAGGGCTTGGTTTCAGCAACCCCTTTGGGGAATGGTGGCTTAGGCACCTCTTGATGCTGCTAGATGCCCACTGGACTGTCCAGTGCACCTGGGTACGTGAGAGGAGCCAATGGGAGTTAGGCACCTAACCAGCATAGATGCTGTCCTGGGGAACACGTAGCCAACGTGCTGTTTAAAGAGCCTGCCGACAGAGCTGAAATCAGGATTAAAGATGCACTGCGGAGGAGATGCAGTGGGCCGCGGGTCCCTACAATGAAGAAATCCCCAGAGAAGGAGCCGCGTCGGCCTCTATCCTACCTGATACTATTACATTAGAACATCAGAAGGGCCAGGCTGGGTCAGACCAATAGTCCGGCTAGCCCATCATCCTGTCTTCAGAGAGAATGAACAGAACAGGGCAATTATCCAGCGATCCAGCCCGTCGTCCAGTCCCAGCGTCTGGCAGTCAGAGGCTAGGGACACACAAGGGCTGTGTCTCTGACCCGCTTGGCTAATACATTCTGGTGGCAGAGGGGCCTGGGGACCCCCCCACCCCAGCTGTGCACTGCAGGGAGGTGTTAGTGTTTGCAGGGGTAGGGGATTCTGTGCTAGTAGGACTTCCTTTGTCTGCAGCTGGGGGCTAGCAAGGGGCTCTGCCCAGGCCCCCCACCCCCCCCGTAGCACTTACCTGGACTGACAGCTGGCGGCTGGAGTCTGTTCCAGCATCGGGCTGGCTGGCCGCTGCAGCCTAGTGGCAGAACAGGGCAACAAGACGGGTTATTCTGCTCCTCCCGCCGGGCCTGGCTGGGGCTGCCCCGTTTCCCGGGATTCGTGGCGTGGGAGCGGCCCCACGTGGGCTGCCCCGATGCAGCAGGTCTCATCCTATCACCACCCTCCGGGGTTCTAGGATCCAGCAGAGGCAGGTGGGGGAAGGAGGGGGAAACGGCAAGGCCAGGCACCGACATCCAGGACCAGAGCTGGGCCTGAGCCAACCCCCCAGGATCTAAACACTCCTGCCAGCACCGGGGCAGCAGAAAGAGGCAGGGGCTGGTGGCAGAGACTCACTGGGGAGCAGCTTCCACACCGCCCCCTCCCCAGCAGCTGGCGATTCAGCTCCCCCCATTCCACGCTCGATTCCAGGCAGTGCCCGCTGGGCAGAAAGCGCAGCACAGAGCCGCCACCAGCCGCCAATCTGGCGCGGAAGGGGAGCGCGGCTGCTGGTGTGCGGGAGAGGGACGCGCCGGGAGATGGGATTGCAGAAGAGGGAAAGAGATCGACACAGACAGAGAGGGGCAGAGGGCAGCAGGACAGCCGGGGATGGGGAAGCGCAGGGCGGCATCGCATCTCCTCTTGGTACAGCGGAGCTCCTTGGCCGCCGTGCTCTGAGCTGTGGGCCTTGCCAATGTCTCCCGTCAGTAAAGGGCGAGGCAGCGGCTGGGCGCGGGACGTGTTTTGGGACGCTGCCCCCTGGCCAGCTCCTGGAGCACCTCCCAGCATGGAGCCCGGGGCGCAGGGTGAGTCGCAGGTTGGTTGGATCTGACCCTTGTTCGGTGGGGGACAGCGGAGGAGTAGATGAGCTGGGGAGGGAGGGCGGATGCCCGAGGGCTCAGCTGACCCAGCTGTTTGGGTTGCAGGCAGGACTGGCCCCTAGGACTGGAATCTGCCGGGAACCGTCTCCTCCCCAGCTCCAAAGGGAAGGCCCGGAGGAGAGTTACTCCCTGCAGCAGCGACTGGCTCAGCATAGCACTGAGCCGGGAGCAGCCCGGAGGGGCCCAGCTTTCTGCTGGCTGGCTGGATCCCCAGGGTGTGACGGCCCTTGGGCCTGGAAGGATCGTGCCGTGGGCTGTTGGCAGATTCCCACCCTCTCCCCCGGTCCCTTCCCTCCATCTCTTCACCCCGGCTCTTCCCCACCGCCGGGCTCCTGGGTCCAGCTCCCCCAGGCCCATCTTCTCCCCTCTCTGATTGGCAGCTGTACCCTCTGCCCCCCCACTCTGTGTCACGCCCTCTTCGGCTTTACCCCCTTCCAGCCCCCCCGCTTTCTGTGCTCCCGCCTGCCAGCCAGCCCTCGGTCTTCTTCTCCCACCCAACGGGGCCATCGCAGGTCCAAACCCCAGACCCTGACCCAATGGAGAACCCCGGGTGTCTCCTACCACTGGCCACCCGGCTAAGCCCCTGCAGAGCTCAGACCTGATCATGCGCCAGGGGCGTGGACATGCATCGCCCCCCAGAGCCCTCGTTCCAGTGAGGCATCCTGCGTGCAGTGACGAGACCCTTCCACCCCACTCCGGCGGGAGCCGGCACCTCCTCCACACGCACACCTGCCCCCCGCCCACGTGGGTGCAGAGCCTGGCCCCTAGGGGCAGCGCCAGGGGCTGTTGCTCTGGTGGTTAGTGCCCTGTCCTGTGCTTGTGTCAGTACAGCCCGCGCCAGCGTCGGGGAGTGATGTGGGGGCTGTGATGAGCCGTTAGTTTGTTAATCCAGAGAGCGCGTGAAAGGGGGGAGCCGACGGGAGAGGCGGCCGGGCAGAGGTGCAGAGGCAGCCAGCCGGGTGGAAGAGGGAGTTGCGATCGGGCACAAGCTGTTACCTTCCATCCTTCGGCTGCCAGCGCGGCCCCATTGGGCCACAAGTCTGCGGGAGCAGGGGAGACGGCGGCCGCGAGCCGGTCGCAGCGGAACTTGGGGATAAATAGGGAGCCAGAGCTTCTCTGAAACACCTGGGGAGTCAGAACATGGGGGGTTGTGCAGCAGAAATAAAACGGGGAGAGGGAGCCCCGGGCCTGCCGCTCCCTAGCCTGGCTTCATCCTAAACACGCTGATGCCAGCGCGCAGCGGGCGAGACAGCGGCTCTTCTCGGCTGGGCACTGGTGTGGGGGGTGTTAAAGTGACGGCCGGAAACCTGGCCACAGCGACGCTCCTCCCCTGGAACGACGCGTGCCCTGCGGCGTCCGGCCTGTCCCCGGGGACGGAGAACCCCGGCCCGGCCCGGGACGGAGCCCGAGGGGAACGCAGGGTCCCTAGTGGCTCTGATTCTGGGAAAGGGAGCTAGTTTCTCCTGCCTGCCGCTCACATCCCGGCCTGGCTCATGCACTCCCCTGGCACTCGGTCCGAGGGGGGTGTCTGCAAACGGGTTTCAGGTGGGGCTGGAAGCCCAAACTAGATACTCAGTGGGGTTTGGACCAGGGAACCCCCGGTGCTAGCCAGCCATGGGGGAACTCAATAGGACCCAAGAAGCATCCCGGACGTCTAGCCCTCGGCTCCGCCTGATGTGTGGAAATGGGGCAAGCGCCAGCTTTCGGGGGAGATTTCCGGTCCCCCCCAGGACACGGTGTCTGAATGGATCGTCTCAGGGTACCTGGACTTCAGGGTTTCCATTCCGGACGTGGGGAATCCAATCTACCCTTCTCTGAACCTGGTAGAGCTTCAGACCACCCCGCCCGGTGGGGCTACACTCCAAAACCGGACGGAAGCCTGGAGTGAGAGGGGTGGGGTCGCTCTGCCAAAGCCCGGCGCCCCTGCCCACCCCGACCCTGCCGGGCCCCCGGAGGGTCGAACCCACTGACTGCCGGCGAGCCCAGCTGTCCCTCCGTGAAGCCAGGAGTGGAGACGCTAGGACCAGACCACTACCCCGGTTAGACTGTGAACTGATGGACTGCCCTTCCCCAGTGCCGCCCCCAGGGGGCAGTGCTTCCTTGCCTGTGTGCCAGGGGCCCGATCCTGCTTCTGGTGATGGCAGTGCTCCTCCTCCTGAGCGAGTGCAGGATCGGGCCCAGGGTGACTGGATTGGGGGGGGGGTGTCGTTCTGGGGGGTGTCCTGTCATGTGTCTCCCCCTCTCCCCCCCTTCGGCACCCACCTCCAGCTCGGCGATGATCCGGTCCTCCTCGTCGTCGTCCTTGATGGCGGAGGCGATGATGGGTGGGGTGGACGCGGGCCTGGTGACCTCCGACACCGTCCGCCTCAGCTTCACCTGGGGCTTCTGGGGCTCCAGCTCCTCCGACTCTGCCTTCTGCAAGGGCGAGAGGGGGCGGGGGGGATCATCCCTGGGCGTCCGGGGCCGGTCGGGGCTCCCCGCTCCCCGCCCCCGCCCCGGGGTGCCCGCCCCATACCTTCATGAAGCTCGAGTCCTTCTTGCTGGTGATGATCACCTCGCCGGTGCGGGTGGTGGTCAGCCCGTGGGAGGAAGGGAAGCTCCGGCGAGGAGGGGGGGGAGGCGGCGATTTCGAGGGCTTCTCGGTCCGATACCTGGGGACGGTCAGCTCGTCTGGGGAAACAACTGGGCTGTTAGAGGCAAGGCCCCGCTCTTCCCCGATCCACTCCCCCCCAAGCCAGGGACTCTCCTACGGTCAAGTGGGGCGCAGCAGAATCTCCAGGGGTCCACAGCTCAGGTGGGTGTGGGGCAGCCCAGCCTTGGGGTTTCCCCCACCTATGAATGTGCCGGTGCAATCAGGAAGGACGTGTGCTCTTTGGGGCGTGGGTGTGATGGGAACATCCCCGTGGCTTTTGCAACAGGGCAGCGGCTTACGTAGGACACGCCGATTGCCTCCGGCTCGGAGGGCTTGGCTGCTGACCCGTTTGGGTCGGGTTACAGGGCCCTGGGGACCTCCCCTGTAGGCCCCAGCGCACGGTCGGCCACACAACCGGCCCCGCGGAGCTCTGGAGAAGCCTAGGGCTGGGCTAGCCGTGGATCAGGGATCACGGGACCAATCCTGCGAGGTGCTGAACGCCCTCCACAACCTGAGAGGGCGCTCAGGACCTTGCAGGGTGCATTAGTAGATCTGGGGGGCAGCTCTAAAACTCAGTCCACATTACAGGCAGGGGACAGAAACGTAGCAATTCCCATACCTGGTGCAAAGCCCTTGCAATAAGGACCCGTTGGTTAAGGCAGCAGGGAAACCCTCCGAAGCTGCATTCTGCAATGCCAGTTTGTAACGCCAGCCCTGCAGGGCTACACTCCCTGCCCATGCTCATGTCCCCCTGGATCCCTTTGTGGCCGAATTCACCTGCTGATGGGCCGCAGGGAGTCGGCTGCCCCGGCCTGGGATAGGTTCAGAGCTAGCAGCCCGCAGGTCCTACGGCCGGCGCGGAATCGACGCAGCAGCTGGGTGTGAGCAGAATCCCTAGGCTGCATGGCCCTCCCAGAGCTGGGGATAGAACCCAGGCGTCCTGACCCCCAACCCCACACCCTGCTCTAACCAACTACACCCCACTCCTCTCCAAGAGCCAGGAATGGAACCCAGGAGTCCTGACTCAGTGGGGGTAGCAGAGAGGCTGAAGAGGGGTGCGGTCCGGGGGCGTGACTTGGGAGGGCACTTCCAGAGCTGATGCAGGGAAACGTTACGAAGGGCACCCCTGGTTTTTGACCACCCCTCGCCCGCTCCGCCCTGCCCCCTACCTGAGCCCCGGCGGCCATTGGGGTCGATTTTGGCGGTGGCTTTCTGTGCATGCTGCGGCTTGGAGGGCTTGTGCTCAGGTGTGGAGGCGGCGCTGCCGGCGGCCTGCTTGTGCTTGGTGGCAAACTCCAGGTCGGGGATGGCCTTCATGAGCTCGGCCTGGGTCTCCTCCAGGAGGCGGTTAATGTCCTTGGCGCTGTACTGGGTCAGCGCCGCCCTCTTCTCCTCCCAGTCCCGCTCGGCGGCCTGCCGGCAGAAAGCAGAGCTCGCTGCGGCTTGCAATGGGGGACAGGCCGGGGGAGCCTTCCCCGTCCATGGGAACATGTGGCACCCGTATGAGGATCTGGGGCACTTGGCTCCATCCCCAGCTGCACAGAATCCCGGGGTACAGGCTGGGGGGCTCTGGGAGGAACCCCAGGAATAGCTGCTCCAAAGGGCCCAAGTCACTAGAGGGTTTCATACAGTCTGTGGCCAGAAGGGATCATCTCGGCCAGCGGTTCTCAAGCTGTGGGTCGGGACCCCAAACTGGGTCGTGACCCTGTTTTAATGGGGTCGCCAGGGCTGGCTTAGACTTGCTGGAACCTGGGGACAAAGCCCTGGGGCAGTGGGGCTCGGGCGTGTTCAGGCTTCAGTCCCCCCTCCTGGGGTCCTGTCATAATTTTTGTTGTCAGAAGAGGGTGGTGTTGCAATGAAATTTGAGAACCCCTAATCTAGGCTGACCCCCTGTATAGCATGGGCCAGAAAACCTGCCCCACACGTCCCTGTATTAAACCCAAAGCCTAGTTAGACTAAAGCATTTCAGATCTCAGGAGACTGTGAGCTGCAAGCAGGGACCGGGAGAGAGAGAGGGGCCACCCAGGCCTCGGCGCCGGCTGGGAATCAGTGAGATCCATCTCAATGATCCCAGCAGGTGACCCAGCCTGCAGAAGAAGGGTCCCTGCTACCTGCATCATCCTCACACCCCCTCCTGTGAGCTGGGGAAATCATCGCTGGGGAAACTGAGGCCTGAAGAGGGGAAAGCGACTTGCCCAAGGTGACAGTGAGTCAGTGGCGGAGGTGGGGATGGCACCTCAGAGTCCTGATTCCTTGTCCACTTTTCTCTGCTCACACTCCCCTCCTCTAGCTGGGAATTGAGCCCAGGAGTCCTGACTCCCAGCCCTGCCTGCTCGAACCACGAGCCCCCACTTCCGTCTCTGAGCTGGGGATAGAACCCAGAAGTCTTGACTCCCTAGCCTCCCCCTGCTCTAACCTCTAGGTCTCCTTATAAATAGACTCCAGGACTAAAGGTTTAACCCAGCACTGCCCGGCTTTTCCAAACAGATCAAGAGGCCCCAATCAATATTCCAGGGCAGATTCTCTCCCAGAGGATTCCCTTTCGGCTCACACGGAGCCGCCGCATGTCAGAGCAGCCCCCAGGCTGCTCTATCTTGCGCAGGCAGCCAGCGGGGGAGCTACTGAGCAGCAGAGAAGCGACAGCAGCTGCTCCAGTGGGGAGTGTTGGGAGATAGGTGGGGAGGTGGCGCCCCCTACAGCACACACCCCAGAGTGACAAGGCTGATTCAAGCCCTGCAGTGTAAAAATCCTGGAGCACTTTATTCTCAGTTCCTAACAGGGTTAGCCTGCAGGCCTGGGCTTGAACCTCTCCTGGGTGTGCGACAGGCCAGACAACCCAGCAGGAGCACCAGGCTCCCCCCCCCGACCCCGGCTCTCACCTCTACGGACACGGCCTTGTCCGCGCTCCTCCTGCCGGGAGTCTCAGGGCCCGTCTGGGTCTTGGCCGGCACCATCTCCGGAGCCCGGGAGGGGTTATTGCTCTTGGGGGGCTGGGGGCCACTCTGCCCGAAGCCCGGCGTGCCCAGGGTATCTGTGGAGGCGGTCAGGTCATGGAGGTTCATCGGGGGGCTGGTGGGGACCTCGAAATCCAGACCCTTGCTGAAATCGATCTCTGATGCCACCTTCTTCGGGGACTGGCTCAGGTTGTTGGACGGAGCCCACACGCTCTCATCCACTTGCCTGCCAATGGAACAGAGTTCAGAGGTCCCCATGGGGGGCTGGGGAGGTGGGGGGCTGGGGTGGGGGTGGGGGCAGCGCAGCCAGGAAGTGCTGTAACCTGTTGCCAAACACATTTTCAACCGCATCGAACGGTTCCGTGTGGGTCGATACATTTATCAACCACCACCAAATAATGGAACGTTGGCAGTTTTCAAAACAAACGTTTTTCTTTTTTTTAAAATCGAAAAAGGTTTTTCAACCTCCTCCCCCGCCCCCGTTGGGTTTTGGGGTTTTTTTGGTCAAACGCACACAAAAAATTTTCACCATTGAAATTTCCCACCAGGACTAAATCGTCCTTTCCCAGGCAGCACGAATGATCATCGTTTGTATTCCAGTAATTACCGGTGCGCCTAGAGCTTGTAACGAGCACCCGTTGCGCTAGGTGCGGTACAAACCCAGAACAAAAAGGCAGCCCAAGGGGCTTCCACTCGAAGACGAAAGACAACAGGCGGATAGAGACGGACAGACGGGGCAGCTCAGGGGACCGGTGAGATTATTGTGATCGGTGCATGGAGAGACACCAGGTATCGAGGTGCCCAAATCCCTCGGAGGATCTGAGCCCAGCTGCCCAAGCACCGCCAGGCACAGGCTTCAGGGCAGAGGACGATGAGCGGCTGGGGGCATGGCTACAGGGAGCGCCTCCCATGCCGGAGAGAGCAGGAAGGGGCTGGCTGGGAAATTTGACAAAGGGGTGACGGAGAATGGGCTCATTGGTGGAGCGGAGAGAGGAACCAGACCCCTCCCTCCGCCCCAGCAGGGATCAGGGCCCAGGGAGCCGGGACCCAGGACTCCCCTGGGGATCCGGGCCGGGAGTCGCTCACCTGCGGATCTGGGCGAGGGTGTCTGTCACGGTCTTGCAGCGCTTCAGCAGGCCATCCAGCCGGTGCGGCTCCTCCTTGAGGAATTTCACGGCCTCCACCTCCACCCGCAGCACCACCCGCATCTTGCTCTGCAGGCTGGGGAAGTGAGCTGGGGCCGGGGAGGAGCAGGGTCAGAGCAGGCCCAGGGAGGGCTGGGCAAGACCCTCCCCTCCCCGCTGCATGGGAATGCAAAGCCCTGCACCCAGAGACACACCCGGCTCTGCCTTGCCCACGTCTGCCTGGCACGGCTGGGAGGAGGCGGCTGGGAGAACTTAGGGGAAAACCCTCCTCCCCGTCCGTCCTAGGAGAAAAGCCCCCGTGACTGCAAGGGGCAGCTCATGGGCACTCGCTGTGTAGGCAGACCCGCCACAGCCCCTGCCATGGGCACACCCTGCCACGCACACGCAGGGCCAGAGCACCCTCTGCCTACTCCCACAGGGTTACCGTACGTCCGGGTTTCCCTGAACGCGACCTCTTTTTTGGCCCTCCAATCTCCATCCGGGCGGATTTTTGACAGAGGGACAAACGTCCGTGATTTTTCCTCACTGACCGGGCGCCCAGCTCCGGAGGCTGTGCCACCACAGCGCAGGAGTAAGGGGGGCCTGGGATGGTATTGCCACAGAAACTGTACCCCCTGCCTTCCCCTGGCAGTGTCCTCCCTTTGGGACCTTGAAATAGGGTAACCCTGTACTCACAGAAACACCTAGAGAGGCGACACCACCAGTGCTTCTGGGTCTAGCGCTTCCTTGCTGCCTTCTCTCTCTGCTGCCCTGATCTTTCTCCTGCTTCCCACGCCCCCATCCCGACCCAGCCAAACCCCCACCAGCCACACGGTTCAGATTCTCGGGCAGCCTCCCCCGGGTGGGAGGAGGCTCCTGTTTGTTACGTTCACCCTGAGCACAGGGCGGCTGTTACACCCCCTCTGCTCGCTGGGCTGTTTGTACCCTCTCTTTCTCGCTGTCAGGGCTGTTCAGGGCTGTCACTGCTTTCGGGGTGACGGGCGGAGCTAGTGTTAGGGGCTGGGTCAAACCTGGTTGAAAGTGGGGCAGCAGTAACTTGTTATCTGCACTTGTGGGAGGGGGGCACCCGCCATGGGCACGGGGAGCCTTGACCAAGGACGTGCAGCGAGTCGGTGGCAGGGCCAGGATTAGAACTCAGGGGGCTCCTGGCTCCCAGCCTTGTGCTCCACCTCTTCGCTCTGGCTGCCGGCCATGTTCCGCATCCGCGTGGCAGGCGGGGGTGATGGGGAAGGGGCACTCTCCCTGGTTGATCTAAAGACCAGGCCAAGCCCAGCCCCCTGTCCGCCCACTCCCATGCCCTCCCATCGCTCCCATGCCCTTGGCAGCTCTTAACGCACCTACATTTAGCAGCTGGCTTGGCTCCGGGAAGCACAAACTCTGCCATGTTCAATGGAGGTTTTGCTAAAGGGGGGAAGGAGGGGGGGGACTCCAGCCCAGAGATGGGCCATGGCAGGGGGTGGGGAAGGCTGAGCGCAGGCCCCTGGGGGCGGGGGAGGCCAAGGCAGAGCCACAAGTGCCATGAGCTGTCAGGCAGCGTCTCCGGCACTCACTCTGACAGCTAGCAGAGCAAACCGGGACCCAGCCACGCAGGCCGTCATGTGGGAGAGCCGCAAACACACCGGCAGGCCAACACACAACCCAGACACGTGCAACCAGCCTGCAGCCCAAATACATGCAGACCTGCAACCCAGAGACGTGCAAACACGCAGGCAACACACAACCCGAACATGCAGGCAACACGCCACCCAAACACAGGGAGGCAACATGCAACCTGAATATATGCAAACACTTGCAAGTATGCGGGAAACTGCAACCTGCAAACTTGCAAACACACACACACACACACACACACAAGCTCACGCAACCCAAATACATACAAACTCACAGGTAAACATACGATACAAGCACATGAACATACCAACGCAGGGAGACACACACAAACCCAGACATGCAACTACACCTACAACCCAGACACAGACAACTCCCAAATACATGACTCACGCAGCCAAACTTACACACCTGGTAACCATCTGGTTCACACATGTGACATATGCCAACTTCCACAGACAACAAACCAAACATACATGTGTGTGCAATTACAGGGTCACATCTGCCAGCTCCAAACCACAAACCAACCCCACAATAAAATCAAAGGTCCAAACGCCTTCAGGGTGAAGCTCTGAAAGCTGTCTAAGGGGATTGGACGCCTGGTTCTCATTGGTTCCACTGGGGATGCAAATTGCACACCGAGTACATGTGGACACAGGAACACCTGTAATTGTCGGCATATATGCCCCCGGGCACAGCCTCCTACATCAACTAAAACAAGGGCACCTGCAAACGTACACACAAATCATCCTGAATACTGAGCCCGGCACACACAGATCTCCAAGGCTGCCCCGCACCCACCTCCACACAATCGCAGAAATGGAGGGCGGGAAGCGACCCTGAGCGGTCATCAAGCCCAGCCCCCGTCCCCGGCGCTGAGGACCAAGCAAACCTAGGCCATCCCTGATGGGTGCAATTGAATGCGCTTGGATAGCATTCAGGGGTGCAAGCTAATCCCGCCCCACGATCCTACCAGCCCCCCAGACCTACACACTCCTGGGACCACCCTCGGCCCTCTCCTCCCGCCGGCCCCCTCTCACCCTTCAGTTCGGTCAGCGTCTCCCCCAGCTGTTTCAGCACCATGGCCTTCTCCTCCAGCTCCTGCACAGGGACCAGCCGGTGATTGTCCTTCTGGATCTTCTCTACCGACTTCTCCAGGTCGCTGTAAGCACACCGTGCGAATGTCACTCCCCCGTCCTCCGGGCCGGGGCGAGGAGAGGGGGAGCTGGGGGAAGGGGAGCAGCCGGGCTGGATCGGGGAGTGCAGGCAGGGCCCCCGGGGCACGCATGCACGGCTTGCAGCTCCGGCCCCGGGCTGTGCCCGTTGGGCCGTTAGCAGCTCTGGTATCTATTCAGGATCAGGCACCGGCACGAAGGCCGACCGGGGGCCTCTCCGAACCGGCCCACTGGTGCTATGGCCAATTTATACCAGTGGGGGAGCTGGCCACACAGACTTTAATTCCCAGAGCCGTTCCCAGGCCCTCTCAGAGAAGGCAGAGCCATAGGCAGAATCAGGGACGGGCACTGGGCGCCGTGCCCCCTCACCCCCAGGGACAGGCACTGGGCGCCTCACCCCCCCAGGGACGGATTCCAATCCCGCCCTCACTTTAACTGCTGGGTGATTAGCTCTTCCTCGTTCAGGTAGCGGAGCCGCTCCTCCTCCACCAGGCTGCGCTGACGCTGCAGGGGGTCCTCCTGCTTGCGCATGGTGTCCGTCACCCGCACGCTGATCTCCGTCTCCGTCCGCCGCAGCATCGTCTTCACCGTCTCCTGGTTCTGCAGCTGTGAGGCCAGAGAGGCGGGGCGGGGGGGGGGGG